TTTACATAATTATTTTCTAAACTTGTCAATATGTCTTGATCTTCTGGTCTTATAGTCCTTGTCATACAAAATGGATAAATAATGACCCTTAAACACACACATATCATTGTCGTCTCTAATAATGAGAACTAACATAAACAAGAAATGAAGTGAATATACTATGTATGTATGTATGTATATATGTAGAGAATTAACGTACTTTGCTTTGCATATACATAGATCGATCATCTAAATACGAATTTTATATTATGCCTTTTGTGGTTGCGGATCTATTGCGATGGCCTTTTGCATATCTACAATTTTTTTTCTTCTTAAAGAACCTGTGCTTTGTGCTTTTCGCTTTTCCTTGCCATTTTCTTTTGGCATTGATGAGAATATGTGAGAAAGATAAGATTAGACATAAATATAAAGAAAAAGGAGTTTTGCAACCTCTTTTTCAGGTTTGGAATTTTTTCCATGATGCCAAAGTGCATGTAATTTAAAAGGTCTCTAGAGTACTATGTAACTTTGGTTAGTGAAAAGATGCTTAACTATTTAGGTATAAATAACCAATTGGCGTATATATATACCTTATTAAGATTAACTGACCTAGCTTTTCGTATCTAGCTTAGATCTTTTCTGTATGAAATAAAGGTAATTACTTCTTAATTAAAAAGATTGATTCTATTATAATATACGTATGATAGTAGTACTTAGCACAGAAAGGCTGCTAATGAAGATTCTTTAATCATATGCAATTAGAGAAACAAATCAAGAAGGATGACGATTAATGACATATACATTCTAACATTTTCCCCTTGTTTTATTGTTTTTGTTTTCCGTGTCATGCAGGATAAATATGCAGAATATATTCTGTTAAATCTTAATAATAGTAGTTTATCATATGGATTGAAGTATATAATAATAAAGACTTAGTAATGTTTGTTATGAAATCAATCAAAGGTTCAAAGCTATAAATGCCAAAATGGCAAACAAGTTTTACAAATCAAATGAAAGTAACATGATCGATCATGGTAATCAATTAGCAGATTAGGTTTTTGGCTTTATCATCGAGGTGCATCTATAATGACATTTAAATTATCGGACAATTTTGCAATGGCAACAATAATATTGTAGCCATTGTAATTTTTCAATCTGAACCTTTAAAATTTAGTACTAAATCTTGACTATTTATAGAATTGACTAAAAAATTATAATAATTATAATGATATATTTGTATACAATAAATAAAAAATAATTTTATTATAAATAAAATTATCGATAATAATTGATCGATTACTTCAAACTTTTAAAGTTTATTTTTGAACCCTTTCTTCTATTGATTTGTTCGATTCTAAAATTCGATTGACTTCCGTAGGATGTACTTTGTATAACATTAGTGTTGGGTGATATTTATTTTTGTGGGAAAGATGATACGGATCAGTTGATAACATATATAACATTTCAATTCTTGATGATAATACAAATTTAACAATGGTATTTTGCTGCTGTAATATTAATGGAGATTGATAGATTTGCTTGGTAGAGAAACTGAAACTGCTTGTATTTGGCGACAAAAACAATTTTTTTTTTTTTTGCAAAGTAAAAACAAGCAATTATTTTTAAAATTAAACTTTTTTTTTAGTCAAACAAATAAATGAACAAGATTTATCCTTAAAATTTCAATGGTTGAGATTGAAAACAATTACAATGGCTACATATTTATTGTAGCCATTAAATAGTCTTCCTTAAATTATCATACAGTCTTTCATAAGAAGTATGAATTAAATGAAGTAAGTTTATAATGTAACACATTATATTGGTATCAAAACTAAACAAGCATGAAACTTAGCTGAGAAGTAATAGTCATCATATTCATATACTACGTATATCACTTCTTAGATGTGACATTATTGAGATCTTTGTAAGTTTTTGCTTTCATAGCTTTACACTTTTTCAAAGGTATTGTAGTAAGATTGTTATCAAAGGTCTTGAGGTAAAAGCAAATTTAAAGAGATACTTGGCAATGTACTATTAAAAAATTTCCCACAAAAATTACTTTCTAAAAAAAAAGAGATACTCCGTGTTATATTAAAATAAGATTGCATTCAGATTATGACTTTTATTTTATAAAATTTATAGTAAAAATTCTAAAATATCAACGTATACATTATAACTACTCCCTCCGTTCCTGAAAATTCGACTCATTTTGCATTTCGCGGTCTCCAATGAACATCTTTGACCATGAATATCTTCGGCTATGTATTAGTGAAAATTATAGAAAGTTGATATTTGAAAATTTTATAATAAGGGGAATCTAATAAGACCCGTCATACTAATTTATTTCTATTGTATAAATCATAATATGTGGTCAAAGTTATTTTATTTTGATCAGATGAATAGTAAGTGAGTCGAACTTTCAGGAACGGAGGTAGTATTACATATTTAAATGTTTTCTCTCACATGTATTTACCGTTTTAATTTATTTCATGCGTTTTAATATATGATCAATCGATTCAACATATATAATCATTATATTTTTATTATAATTATCAACATCCGTGGATTGCACGGGGATTAACCTAGTTGATCATAAATCAAAATTTCAAAAAAAAAACTATTTAATATTATTCCATCCGTTCCTTTTTGTTTATTACGCTTGACTTTTATGGTCAACTAAATTTTTGACTATAAAAACGAACTCAAACCATAATATACCTTATCATGAAGGATCTTGTTTGATTCGATTTGAAATGTGTTTCCAATGTTCATATCAACAATTGTTATCGAACTGCTAATAGATATGATATGTATTGTACACCATAAAGTCAATCGTAACAAATAATAAAAACGGAGGGAATGCTCATTTATGCTGCCACCTTGTACAAGTAGGATTATGATGTTGTAAAGCAATAAGGTCAACAAAAATAACATGAAACAAAGGCCAAAAATTTTATTTGGAATAATGAAGTAATGAAATACTCCATAGCTAGATTTGATAACATACGCTACGAATAGTTTGTGCCACCTCGTATGAGCTATTTATAAACTTTATACACGAAGTATAACTCTTTTCTACCCTATATATAATATGTCCCAATAATCCCATAACATTTTATTTGAAAAGATAATTTTTTTTAAAAAAATACAGAGTGTATAATTAAGATGTTATTGATTTAAAGAGTATATAAATAATAGATCATCAGATGCACTCTAATTTTATAAAACTTATTTAGTTAAATCTATCAAAGAAAGCAAGCTCAACATAATTAAAAATTTTACAACATTTTCACGTCAATTAAACAAATTTTTAAGTTTTAAATTTAGTTTCATTATCTATAGTCCATATAGTTGTCAAAAAGAAAAAATATTACTCTATATAAAATGAAATAAATATTTTTTACCCAAATGAGAAGAAGAGATCAAATGGAATTCCTCTTTGGTGTAAGAAGATTGTCTTTGACATTTAAAAATGGTACTGCTTGTCTTATCCTTCATGTGCAATTTTAACTATTAAACTTATTTATTCATATTTATTATTTATTCATAATCAATAAAACATAATGTAAGAAATAATCAGGAATACTAATTGACTAATTAACCAAATCCGTGCAGTTACTCCCCTTACTCCCTCATGATCAGCATGTGATCAATTGACGACGACAACTTAGATCCGACCATAACGTCCATAATAGATTCTATTAGTTAGAAACTTGCTGGTTATATAAAACATACAAACATCAATAAATAATGTGTTACGTACTACTAATTATGATTTTATATAATTATCTTATCATTATAGCTTTGCAACCTCTATTTATTAACCTATATATTAATGTGTTTTTTGTCATGCTGTAATTCATATGATCTAAGTCTACGTCATGTGGCTGATTTATGCCTCCTCCCAAACCTATAGCTTACAAAACTTTCACTGAATCTCGACTGCAACAAACCCCTCTAATAATTTAAGGTTCGAACACAAAATTTCAATCGACATCAAAAGTGTTGAATATTCTAATTGATCAACGTAAAAGTATAAAAGGCAGTTTAAACGAAATTTGATCGTAAGGTTTAATTTGAGTATGTATCACCCTCAAAACTTTGACTACTATTTTTATATAGAGTGTATACCTCGTGATTTGTTAGTATCTAACAACTGAGATTCATAAATTAAAGAAATACATAATATGTTTACATCCTTGAATACATTAGAATTTGACATTTTATAATTGAATACAAGTAGTAATCCTTCATCATCAGACCGTCGACAACAAGAAAAATAAATTTATGTCCTGATTCCAACTACTTATTCGCTATCAAAGTGACAGTAAATTTAAGTAATGGGCCAACAAAGATAACCAAAGACAAACAAAAGATTAGCGAAAGATTGAAAGACATTATGGCATGTTATGGCCGTACTACTCGAGCGTTATTATAATCTTGCTAGCTACAACTTACAGGCTACGAAACATGCCAAGTCTTTAATTTGTAGTATAGGTTAAGTTCAACTAATTGTTATTTGATACATTAGAGCACCTTAGATTTAAATCAAACCAGGTGGATCTAATTATATCTCTCTCATTAATTTTTGCCTCCGCAATTATATAAAATTAAAGTAGCTCAATAGTCACGCTCACTATTTTAAGTGTGATAATATAGTGCTTTATGATTAGTGTAATTGTGTAAGGTATACATTAGTATATTTATTTTTGGGTTGAAAAGGGATTAGTAAACTATGACAACGATCCAACTACTGATAGATAGGCTATTAACGTAGTTCATTGGCAATGTAAAAGGATTGAAGCTACAGGTAACAAATGTATAACTAGCTTAGTATTCCTACGCCATTGTTTCTAGTAGTTTTTCTTAGTTGATGAACAGTGATTGTCTCAAAAAAAATAAGTCAAACACTCGTCAAAAGAACGGTTAGAGACAGTGAGATTACTATTTAATATGGAGTACATTTATCCCCACTGTTCAGAAGTCCACCGAAAGTCTCACCCTTCAGCTCTCATACTAAAATGAGCTGCACTGGTGGTGGTAGTAGTAAGTATGATAGTCTGTCAAATTATAATCATTTTTCCCTCTTGCATTCACACCAAGAATTGAAAGGGATATGTATATAATTTATTACATGCCCCTTTTTAGCAATGTAAAGGGAAGCAGTATAATATTAATAATTAGAGTATTAAAAAGAAAAAAGTAGTACTAATAATATAATAATAAAACAAAAAAAAATAAAAAATAAAGCAAGCTTATTTGGGCTAGTTAACCAGTGTGAGCTGTGTTTCTTTTGTTCATAATACTAATTCCTATCACATGCTCTCTACTGCCATCCCATAATAAATCTCACTCCCCTTACAAATATTCTCCCCCATTCTTTTTCTTCTAAATTTCATTTGTTTAAGAGGTTTTCTCTGTAAACATTTTCTGTCAAAAATCTCAAAGATGAGGAATAATTGTTACAAAAGATGATGTTGAAATGAGGGCAACATCAATCATCATACTACTACTACTCTCCATTTTGGTCTCAAATATACACTACTCTTCTAGTCTAAATTCAGATGGTGTTCTCCTTCTTTCTTTCAAATACACCATTTTAGACGACCCATTAAACGTCTTAGAGTCATGGAACTTTAACAACGCCACACCATGTTTATGGCGTGGCGTCACCTGTAGTTCTTTTAATTTTACACTCCTAGGTGAAGGGGACACTCCTCGCGTAGTAGGAGTGTCCCTTCCTGGATGCCAACTTCTAGGATCATTACCAGCTGACCTCGGCCTCATTGATCACCTCCAAACCCTAAATTTATCCTCAAATTCAATCAACGGGTCACTCCCAGACTCGCTCTTTAGTCTACCGGACCTCCGTGTCCTTGACGTATCTAACAATTCGATCTCCGGGAAAATCATTGAGATTGGAGGGTTACGAAGCTTGGAAGTTCTTGACGTTTCCGAAAATGCCCTTGCCGGGAATATTCCGAGGAATCTTGGGACGTTGAAGAATCTTAGCTCGGTTTCTTTGAGAAGGAACAATTTTACCGGCAATATTCCGGGCGGGTTTGACCGGGTCCGGTTCATGGATTTATCCTCCAACTTATTAAACGGTTCACTTCCCGTTGATTTAGGAGGAGAAAAACTCCAGATTTTTAACCTTTCTAATAACCGGATAACCGGCGAAATATCTCGGGATTTCGGTAACAAAATACCGGAAAATGCGACTTTAGATTTCTCCTTTAATAATTTAACCGGCGAGATTCCGGATTCCAATGTGTTACTTTCTCAAGAGAGAGATTCCTTCGCCGGTAATCGAGATCTCTGTGGGCCCCCATCAGGCAACCCATGTCAAATCCCTGCAAGCCCAACTCCGGCCCCAAGTCAGCCCATTCCACCGCCCGCTTTTGCCGCCATTCCCAAATCCTTCGCCAGCTCACCAGACGTGGGCCCAAATCAGGAAACCGGCCCACAGAAGAAAGATCATGGGCTTCGGCCTCATATAATTGCCGCCATTGTTGTTGGTGATTTTACAGGGATTGCTATCCTCGCCATGGTGTTCCTGTACGCGTGTAAAAGAAAGAAGAATAATAAAAACACTACTAATAATACTAAAACTCTTAGTAGTAGAAGTCCAACTTCCGCGGCGATAATAAGAGGTGCAAGAGATGATCATTGGTCATCAACTTCAAGTTCGTCGTCGCTGTCAGATTCTAAAGGTATAGCCAAGTGGTCTTGTCTAAGGAAAAGTAAAAGCGAGGACAACAACGACGATGAAGATGATAATGACTCGGAATGTGGGTCCGAGGATAGAGATAACGAGCGGCGGCACCAGCAGCAGCAGCAAGGACAGTTAGTTACAGTGGACGGTGGAGGAGGAGGAGAAAGAGAGTTGGAACTAGAGACGCTGTTAAAAGCGTCAGCGTATATTTTAGGAGCAAGTGGTACAAGTATAATGTACAAGGCAGTACTAGAAGATGGCACTGTTTTAGCAGTTAGAAGAGTTGGGGAATCAAACAGTGTGGAAAAATTCAAGGAGTTCGAGGGTCATGTTCGAGCCATTGCGAAGATGGTTCACCCGAATTTGGTTAAGGTTCGTGGCTTTTATTGGGGGTCCGATGAGAAGCTTGTAATTTACGAGTATGTTTCTAATGGCAGCCTTGCGAACGCCCGTTACAGTGAGTACTTTTTTTTTTTTTTTTTTCTTCTTATTCATTCTCTTTGCATTCTTGAATTCTGTTGTTATTTTTTGGGCAATGCATCATGCATGGTGTCGTACGGAGTAATTCTATTTACTGTGCATAATTTCATGGCCATTAATTTTTTTTTAAGGAGTATACTTGTATTAATAAGTAAAAGAAATGAGTATATATATATATATATATATACGAAGTATATAGCACGGGTATTAACTAGTCTCTCTCTATACAATTTGAGGTTAATCTAAGTTATGTTTAAGTAATAGCCGAAGACATTATAGCTAGCTACAAAATAAATCTTCAGATGTGCTAATTGATGCTAGCCATCAAGAATCTATTTAATTATTTGCTACTCAGTATGCATTATAGGCGAAATACTTTTTAAATAGTTTACTAGCTAGGGAGTTTTAAAGTAGGAAGGAATTATTATGAATGTGGTTGAGTGGCTCAAACCTTTTTTTTTAGAAGAAAAATGATATGCATGAAATTAATTATTCCATGTTTTTGGATGTGATTCTCATTATATGCCATATGAGATGTTTTGAACATATTTGGTGTTTCAGGTGTATGGACATTTGTTTCAAATTATTTCAATGTGTATGTGTTTTTGTCTTCGTGTGTGTTTTGGCTCGAAACTTTAGAATTATAGGAGCTCACCGTTTAGCTTAATATCTTGATTCGACTTTAGAAGTATGGAGCATACTCTTGTCCTTTTACAATAGAATGATTGCTCAATCATGAAAATTTGAAAAAGAGAACATACATGAATGTGATTGACTCATAATTCAGTCATATAGTTTGAGTGGAGTGTTAACTAATGGAGTGTATATTATTCGAGTTGAGGAGGCATGAATAATTGTCGGCCTCCAATGCTCAAAATTCTCAAGAGGTAAGATCAAAGATTGAGGGATTATAATCAAGAGCTAGTCCAAATTAAAGGGTCCTTTTCAACAAAATTAAAAAAATCCCATACAATATGTAAAGATCAGTTAAAAGTGGGAAAACCGGGCCAAAAATCGGTAGAGGGGCCATTGCAATAGATTCGAGGGGGGAAACAAGGGGTGGTGGAGTAGTTGTAACGGAAGCCTTTCATAATTTTAAATGCTGGTAAGAGTCAAATTTAATACTTCATCTTCCAAGTGTTAACTCTCATGTACATAGCGTTGCCTGGCTGTTTTATTTGGTCCCATCATCACCCACACTTATGATATGTCCTACAATAAATTTTCGACTTTGACTTTTTGCACTACCTATGTGTTTTTCTTAACACTTGTATACAAATAAAAAATTTATTATAAAAAAATTAGTCTTAATGAATAATTACAGATATAAATATTCATACTTGTGTTTCCTCAAAAAAAAAATATTCATACTTGTGTACAAAAAAATAATACAGTATTCCATATTTGTGTTTTTTTTTTTTTCGCGGAATGGAATTAGGAATTATTTATCTACAGACTTCTTCACTGGTTTCTGTACAATTTCTGTTTTTTAGGTTCACAGTTCACTGGCATATTAACTCTTATTGGGGCCTTGGGGTTTGAGGGGTCTTTATGAATACTGTTGGAGGAATTCAGAGTTATTGTGTTTTTTTCCTCATTTTGGATCAAATAATATTTCATACTGTATAAGTTTTGTTATTGGTACGTCATGTCATTATTTTTAACTTGTTTATAGAATTGGTTGAGAAGTTACAATTGTGAACAAGTGAAATTAATAGGGGGTCTCCTTTATTTGAATTCATCTACTTTGTTCTCATGCATTGTACCAATACCTTATACAGTAACTTTTTTGGTTTCATACAAGTTTGTTTTGTAAAAATCTGTTTAATTATTACCCAAAATAGTAACTTTCTGGCTTCTGGAGTTCTGGTCACTCTTTCTAATACTAGTAGTATAATATGCAGAACTTTTAGTTGAGTACTTGTAATTGCGTTGTGCATGATACTCTGTTAGTCTTTTTTGCTCTCGCAGTAATTTATTGTGAACCATTCAAAGTAAATTATCTTCGAAAGAGTAAAGTCACTGGTTCCTTCAAAATGGAAAAAAGTTCCCAAGTATACAATAAACTATTATGAGAATTTGCCTAAAGTTGGACTCTATGAGAGCAACTATTCAATTAATCAAGGCCATTATCTTAGGAATGCATAATTATGTATGCAGTACATGAATTTTTTAAGTTGATCAATTTGATTATGTGAACTACGTGTGATTAATTAATTTGACTCACCAATGAAAACGTAAAACGTGTTTACAAGTTGACTTAAAAACTACATACATAACTTCATTGACTTCATTATTTTTAAGGTCAGACTTGGATTGTTCTTGATCTACTAAATAATTTTTTTTTATGATGTACTTTTTTTCATTTTTATTTACTTGACTAAAGAATTATGATGTATGAAGCATAATATTTTTTATTTGTTTAGACTAATGTTGATCTGATATTTCCAGGGAAAACTTGCTCTTCACCAAGCCACATACCATGGGGAGTTCGGCTAAGGATAGCTAAAGGGATAGCCCGTGGACTAAATTTTATCCACGAAAAGAAGCACGTACATGGTAACCTCAAGCCCAATAACATACTCCTCGACGTAGACATGGAGCCCAAGATTAGTGATTTTGGGCTTGAAAGACTCTCAATGGGTAAATTCGGGTGCATACCCGGCGGATCGACCCGTCACTTTGGTAGTAAAAGATCCACAGCCTCAAGGGACAGCTTCCAAGACTATTCTGTGGGAGCTACCCCAAGCCCGAGTACAAGCTCCATTGGATCTGTTTCACCTTACCACCCACCCGAATCATTACGGAGCCTTAAGCCGAGCTCAAAATGGGATGTTTACTCATTCGGGATAGTGTTACTTGAACTAATAACAGGAAAGGTTGTGATATCGGATGAGTACGGCCCACCCGTTCTAGCCGAATTGGCAGTCGGGTTGGAGGATCGAACACGGATGCTCCGGATGGCGGACCCCACGATTCGAGGTGACTTGGAAGGTAATGAGGAGGCATTGTTAAGTTGTTTAAAGTTAGGGTACAATTGTATTTCACATGTACCACAAAAAAGACCCTCAATGAAAGAAGCCCTCCACGTTCTAGAAAAAATAACATCAAATTCACCAACTCCACCACCATCATCACAATATTATTATGGTCCTTAAATGTTGGTACTAATGTATGGCGACAAAGCATTGTAGATTATTCAGAGATAAATTAAAAGTGTTACGTTGTATGTATGATTGACATTTTTTAATTTCTTTTTGTCTTTTGTTTAATTATCACTTCATCAAATAGTTTTTTTCCTTTTTTTTTTTTTTTTTGTCTAATTATCTGCTTTTGTGCTGTTGGTGGAGTTGTTTGTGGTGTAACTGTCTTCATCATAGTCTTAGCTACCAACATTATTACTTAGATATTGTTGCGTAATGGCATTGATTGTCTTTTATTTTTTTCCTCTTAGCTAACTGCGGTTACGTATTGTACATATTAGTAAAAAATTACGTACTTCTCATTATTTTGTAGAATAGTCTAAACTATATATTCGGAGAATATAAGTGGACTCCTATTCTCGTCATCAACACTTGTGTTTGTTGTCATTCGTCTAAAAGTAATATTCAATAGATACTTTAATGGTCACTTTGATAATAGTTTGTCTTACAAATTGAGGTCAAAGTGTAAGGATTTGAACTAAATTAATTGTATTCGTTGTATATTTATCCTCTCTTTGAAGTTATGGCTTTTTGCATAAATCATATCAATGCCATCTATCTTTGGAATTTTAAGTGAAGATTATCATCAGTAGTGCCAAAATCACCATCCAATCATGGGCCTTGTATAAAGTGAGCCCACAAAACTTATCCCTTTAAAGGTACAACTGTACAAGTGACTAAATGTAAATGACATGACTAAAGACCTAATAATGTTATAATAATTGGCTAGAACTTGTTAGAAAATGCAATTCTTATTAATCACCTTAAATATAATTCCTTGGAAATCTTTCTCTCCGTACAGTAGTATACACTCTAACTTAGGCACTGGAGGGGGTTTTCTTGATTATCATCCTTGTGTATTCTACAAGTACCTTAAGTTAAATGACCTAATAGTATCTATACAATATGACTTGCCTTCTTAGAAATGCTAAAAATCATACAGAGTACAAGTAGTAACTATTTCTAATCTAAAACGATATCTTCGTATGTCCTATTTCATATAAGAATAAATGACAGAATGACACTAATGTTGATCGATCGATATGTATAGAGAATCTTATTCCAATATCAATAATAATGCAACCATATTGCCCAAAGCATAGTCATGATTTTTTGTTCATAAATTTGTCGTATTTAAGATTCGATCATGAATTATGTATACGAAGTATTGATGAAGAAAAATAAATACTTTGTGCCTTTGAGGACTTGAGGTAGAGAAGTATTATCTCGGAAATTATGAATTTGTAACATACTTCGTATATCATCAGGTTGAATTTTTCATTATAGAAAGGCCCAAACATATTTATACCAATTGTAGGGTATAAACCCATCTTTCAAAGCCCAATATCAAAGAGTAAAAATAATTAGTTTTTTTTTAAAAAAAAATAACCTTGCAATTTCTATTTGACAGCCTAATAAATACTGTACAACGTACACTTAACGACAGTTTCATAATTTACACCATTATCCCGCCCAAAATCCCTAATTCAAATATCATCTCTCTTTTACAAATTCCAGAGAACTCTGATAAGAAAATTCTAGCAGAGAAATCGAAAATGGCGTCGAAAATCGGAATGATGGATTCTGCGTATTTCGTCGGTAGATCGGAGATTCTTGCTTGGATTAACTCTACTCTTCAACTCAAAATCTCCAAAGTCGAAGAGGTTTTTTCTACATCTTTGTCCTAAATTTCGTAATTGTTTTTTGCTACTCAACAATTTTTTCGAAATTCTGCCTGGAAATTTTCAATTGAAACCCTAATTTATCAAATTGTGTGAGATTAGGCGTGCAGTGGAGCAGTTCATTGTCAGCTGATGGATGCGGCACATCCAGGTATAGTGCCGATGCATAAGGTTAATTTCGATGCGAAGAATGAGTATGAGATGATTCAGAATTACAAAGTTCTTCAAGATGTTTTCAACAAACTCAAAATCTCCAAGGTTTCTATCTCTTTCTATTGAGTTTTTTTGAAATGTTAGGGTTTCGTCAATTTTATCGCTTAATTAGTTGATTTTTATTTTGTGATGATTAGAATATTGAGGTGAATAAGCTCACTAAGGGAAGACCTCTGGATAATCTGGAGTTTCTGCAGTGGATGAAGCGTTACTGTGATTCTGTCAACAACGGCGGCTCAAACAAGTAATTTTTTTGTTTCATTTAAAAAAATTATGTCAATTAGCATTTATTTGATTTGCATTTCATCTGTTGGTTAATTAAATCAATTGTTTTGTGGATGGCTTGATGCGTTTGCAAGTATAATAGCTCGTCTTATGAATTGACTTTGAATGATATTGAATGAAATCTGTAGCAATTTTATTACCTTCATTCCAGAAATTTTGCTTCACTTAGACTTTAATTTCGTTTTTCCAACTTTGATTACATCAAGATGCTAATGCATACATTTATCTGCAGCTGAAATGAAATGTTCAATTCTGTCTTGAAATTACTCTACCTTACGCTTTTATAGTTTTAACTGATATGTAGTGAGAGAAATTTCTGTCAAAACCATGTAAAATTGTCAAATGTGGCGGATAGTTTTTATAGTTTTGTAAAATTGTCAAATGTCTTGAAATTACTCTACCTTACGCTTTTATAGTTTTGTGCTTAACCGAATACCATACCAAGGTACTCAGGTTCTATTGTTGAACTATCTGCATGACTACATGTTACAGTTTTACTGTAAGTGGACGCAGTATTATACTATTATGCGAGGGAGGTGTTAATTATTGATGATTTCATTTTGCTTCTTTTTAAAAAAAAAAAAAAATATATGTATTTCTCAAGTTGCATTATGAAATTCTAATATTACCTACTGACTGATGACACCGTTGGATGTCATAACATTAGACGATGTCCTGTTGAGTATTTTCTTCAATAATAATATGCGTGTTCCCTTCAATATCATGCATTTTCCAATAATTTGAATTAGAAATTCCATAAGCTTTAATGTGCTTGAACCATTAATCTGAGTGTGCTTTTGCGGCAGTTTGGAAGTTACTCTTGTGCTTAGAACATGGATAGGCACTTACTCGTCTCTGAGATTGCCTATCCATTTTTGAAGCACTAAGTCAAATGCTCTAAAGACTGAAGTTTATAAGTTTTGGGTGCATGGTAAATCATGATGTTGTTTTTCTTAACTCCTCATGTTAACTCTTGGCTTAGTTACAATTTGGTTTTGTAAGGGAAGATTGGTAGCTTTCAAGCTATAACACAGAATACCTGAGAACTCTAAGGAGGTGTGAATTGTTGAGGGTCTCTTTTTGCATTTTTTCCCCCTAACATGTATGCTCCAAATTCATTAGCTATTATTTCCTATTCATAGCCATTGACTTATGACACTGCTGGATACCAAACCTTTTGAGAAATTTTCTTATCAGAATTCTATTGAATGGTTTTTATGCTCTAATAATCTGTGTTAAATATTCAATCGGCTGTCCTGAACTGCTTTTTTGCTCTTTTACGATAATTTGGTCCTGTGCTTAGAACATCATTTTAGGTAATTAGTCCTCTCTATAAACTTTGTACTTTTTTTATTATTATAATTTTATTTTTGCACCAAGTAATCAAGTATAATGTCCTCAATTTTTGTTTGCGCAATAAATCATGCTGTTCTTTTCTAATTTTCATATTATACATTTTGTTACTGGATTAGTTACAACCCTTCGGAAAGGAGAGAAGCTTGTAAGGGAGGAAAGGAAAATAGCAAAAAAACTGCTGCTTCACATCCATCTACTAAGTCTTCAATGGCAGCAACCAAGTCTCATTCTACTCAAAGCTCTCGGAAGGCTGATGTCCCCTCTGTGCAAGCAGCAAATCAAGCTGCCATAGCACCTCAACCTGTCTCCAATGAAGTGGGTGCATATGATGAAAAGGTATGTTGCATAATTGCATGTAAATTAAGACATTTTGGTCTAGGATGGACTTCCTTACCACTTCAGAAAGTGATACTCTCATATACTAAGCAATTGTTATGCAGATCACTGAGTTGAAGCTATCAGTTGATAGTCTTGAGAAGGAAAGGGATTTCTACTTTGCAAAGCTGAGAGATGTCGAGATATTATGCCAAAGTCCAGAGCTTGAACATCAACCTGTAAATCAAACTTCTTTTGAGACAACTCTTCACACTATATATTGTATAGTGTTTCGTAAACTGTCCAGGAATTTAGAGACTAAGTGCTCTACTGATTGTCTTGACAGGTTGTTGAAGCGATAAAGAAAATTTTGTATGCTGCTGATGACAATGCATCAGTGATAGAAGAAGCTCAAGCGTTGTTAACTCAGAAGCATTTGGTGTCACTGAGTCCAGTTGCTGAGAATTCAGGTGATGGTTTAAAGTTGGAAACACTCAAGAGAAAGACCATTGACAACCTTGATGTTGATGTTGCTGCCAGCACTACATTGTCTCCTAGGCAAAGGCTGTCGGATGTTTCAAATGTGCTTCAAAGTGGATCACCATTATCGACTTGCTAGACTACCGGTCTACTGCTGGTTTGAGCCCTGATGTTGTCTGTCAAATTACATGGTATACCAATGTCTTTTTCTGGTACATAATAGAAGTGGAAATATGTTGAATCCAAAATTTTTGTTTAGCTAATGCCTCTGAAGTCTGAACTGCTCTTGATTCATTTCGTTGCTCAAATATTTTTAAGAGTCAGTCTAAGTATAGTATTTGTATCCTCTTATATGACGTGGTTCCTATTATGATATTATTGAAAACCTCATATTTGTTTATTCGGATGTATCATTGAATACTCGATTGTAGTGACTGCCTGTCCTCGTCTAATATCCTAGATTTTTGTACTATGATTACAGTGCTCTTGTTGCAGTACTGTTTTTGACAGGTGCTCTGGTTGCATTAACTCAGTAAGGAAGGCAAAAGCAGTTCTATATAGAATATAAATCCTCCTATCTTGGGTATAATTGAGAAGGTTGCGTTACTCTGTATTTTCATCTTCCATGATCCAATGTGTGGTGGTAATGCGTAAGTACTATACAATGCTTTTAGTTAAATGGAAAATACTCGTCTTGGATGTACTTGTATTTATCAGAGACTATTAGTTGGGTCTTGGATGCCTCAAATACTCGTTTTGGATCTTCAACGATATTGACGTTAGTATGGATATTGCACATTTCATATTGAAAAAAAAAAACAAAAAAAAAAGTGTGTTAAATGAACCACATGTTTACATGTCCACAATTCTCCCTAACAAACTAGCTTCCAAAGAAAGGCCCGTAACAGTAGAACAGAAAATAGCTATAAAAAGAAATCACTATATATTTGCTCAGTAAAAAAAAAAAAAATATATATATATATATATATATATATATATATATATATATATATATATATATATATATATATATATATATATATATATATATATATATATCATCGTAATTTGACATCTTTATCACCATTTCTTCTATCTGTTTATTCTCCTCATCAAAAACTTCATAATTCAGGATGGTACAGTTTCGTGTTGCATGATCTTCGTTATAATCCTATTTATGACATTGTTCTTTTCTTCGGTTATGTAAGGTTTAAAGAAAATGATTATTGGTAGGTTATATGATCTAGTGCTAATGTATTTATTTTGGGCTTATGAACAGAATAACCAGCAGACTAAGCCACAAAACACAGGAGATGTGAAACTGGTGGAGACAGTTGATCTAAGTCAATCTGCGGGGCAAGGGGAACAACAGAGGTTTATTGAGGTGATTCACCAGCTTCACCAGCCAGAAAAACCAGCCACCAGGAGTGGTAGTGTCTTGTCGGGGGCCGGTTCTGCTGTTGCTAACACTCTTCAATCTGCAAAAGAAGCCATATCTGGAAGTAAAAATCACTAGTGCAAGCTCTTAGTATTTATTAGCTAAGAAATTACAAATGTGAAATTGTTTTTAACTCGGCCTTTTAAATATGGGGAGCTAGGTTTTATACAAGCATTTGCAATGCTTAATGGAGGTCAATTTTCATGTATGTAGTTTGTAAGATTATATTTGTATCACAGTTTATATGATCTGAGGATTCACTTTCTTATAGTTGTACATTTTCAATCTAACCATTGCTATGATAACTCCATCTTAGAGATGGGCAAAATCATTAAACCTAAAATGTTATGTATATCTTTTTTGGAAAATAATTAGATAATTTAGATATGCAAGGAATTTAAAATGAAAATAAAAGGTCAAAATCCTTCTTAATAAATAAGTCGGAACCTTTTAAAGTTAATACATTTGATGACTTGTGAATTAATGATACTCGTATTAAATATGCGCAAATTATTCTTCTTTTATGATTAGGATATATTTCATCATTTGTACAAAGTGAAAAGTTATCTTTGCATATTACACTAACGCTTCCTCGTTAAGGATGTGTAGCCAAGAATTGTTCAATCTTAAAATTCCATGATCATTAGTAAATTTATTTTATGACCCCTTATATCATTTGACTTTGATTACGTGGACAATTAAGAATCTGTTATTGGCTGTATGTTGTAAAACTATAAGCGAATCCATGTCATGCAAATTAAATATGCGATACTAACAAGGGTCCCATCTAAGAATTCCTCCGCTTAGGTCAATTATAAAATACGAAGTATAAAAATTGCTTGCAAATAGTATAAAAGCATATAACCAAATTGACAATTTGATCACGTCCTAAAGCCGAACCTTATTCGATCTCTTTTTATATCTGTTCTTGTATTGGATTCTTCTCCCAAAAAAAGAACTAGTACAATTTTTTTTTCCTAATTTTTTGAATTTTCGAAAACTTTGAGAGATTGTTGAGCAGAGATGGGGGTAGCACTATCAAGATTAGTAAAAATGATGTTCGCAAAGAAAGAAATGAGAATTTTAATGGTGGGTCTTGATGCTGCTGGTAAAACCACCATCCTTTACAAACTCAAACTCGGTGAAGTAGTCACTACTATCCCCACTATTGGTATGTGATCATTCTGCTTTTGATCAAACTTGGTGTTTTTGTGTCATTTGCGTGTATATCCACTCGTGTAGGAAGAGAGTTTGAACACGTACCATCTTAAATATGGTTATGTGGGAGAGAGGTTTTATTTAAAACTCAATTGAGCATTATTTTAAGTTTATGGATTGATATAAGCGACAAATTCAAGTTTAGGATTCATATAAGCAACAAATTCTAATTCAAAAGTTTAGGATTGATATAAGCGACAAATTCAAACTTAATGGTTGAATTAGCTTGGTTTTATGGTTTATGATTCTTAGAGATTGAAACGCCTAACATATTTGAATAACATATCTTAGTTTTATGTTTGTATATATTGAGCAGGGTTTAATGTGGAAACTGTGGAGTACAAAAATGTAGGCTTCGCTGTTTGGGATGTTGGTGGCCAAGACAAGGTACGACACTACAAGTCTACAACTTGTCCTAACTCCCGTAATTTTATTTTTTTTAAATTGTATGTTACAATTTTGTTGTAATGTTTTTGATCGTTGAAGCAACCACGACTTCTTGTCTTCTTGATATGAACACGTTACACCACCTTTGTGTAACCTGGTTATGTTATTGTTTTGTGGCTTTTGAGTGATTTTATATTAGATCAAATTAAAACAAATTAGCTAAAATAACTGATGTATTATGTTAAGAAAATCATCGACACCTTAGTAATTTTTTTTTTTTTATTTGCAACGAGACAACAGATCAGGCCATTGTGGAGGTACTACTTCCAGAACACCCAAGGTCTTATCTACGTAGTGGACAGTAACGACCGAGAGAGAATTGCAGAAGCCAGAGATGAGCTCCACAGGATGCTAAATGAGGTCCTTTTTCAAACTCCCTATTTTTAATGGGCTGGGCTTAAAATTCAGTTTTTTGTTGGGCTTTTATGTGCTGTGGCCCATCCTTTTTTTTACGTCATGATCCAATTTTTGTCTTAAGTCTAAATTGAGGCTGATGTCTTTTGCTTAAGGATGAACTGAGGGATGCATCTCTTTTAGTTTTTGCCAACAAGCAAGACCTTCCAAATGCAATGCCTGTTGCTGAGATTACTGATAAACTTGGCCTCCACTCCCTTCGTCAACATCGCTGGTATAGCTTTATCTAACCCTTTTCTTACGATAGCTATTAGCTAAGTACTCCCTCCATTCCATATCATTTGACGACTTAACTAACTTTTTACAATTTCTAACTTTATGTTACACAAATTAAGAAGTTATAGCCATTGGTGCCTTAAACAGTTAAACGGGCTAATAATATTGTATCGATATGTTAAATAACAGGTTTATACAGGCTGCTTGTGCTACCTCTGGTGAAGGGCTTTATGAAGGTCTAGAGTGGCTTACCAGCAACATAACTACCTAGGCAAGATATATCCGTCTTCGATTTCCAATTGTTTATTTTAGATTATTGATAGCAATGATAATCACTTTGCTCATTATTCGCCTTTTGTTGATTGTGATTGCAGTCTTGATATTACGATGAACTGCCTGCAAATTGGAGCATTGTTACTGATATCTAACATCAGACTTTCCTTTCAGAAGTGAAGCTTTACTTATTGCATAGATGTATATTATTAGTATATAATTCATGTTAATTTCATGCCTCAGTCTGCTGAGAATGTTTAATGATGAATGAATGTTTGCAAGTAAAATATAATCTTAATGTTGGCTATACTATTTTGTTCCTTAATTTGCTTTTGTTTTAATATTCTCTGACTTCTTGTAATCAGAATCATCCTTGGAATAAGGTATTAGTTTCTCATACCAAACTGATTTAGAATCTATCTTATAGCTATATTGGTGATATGATGAGTACATAAAGGACTACCTTTTGGTTTATCAAACAACTTTGAAAATCTTAAAACCAAAAACTGAAACTGACTAATATATCGAACATGCCCTGTCTCGGCTTTGAGTGACAGCTCGATTGGTACAATCCGTCGTATTGATACTTTTATAGTAGGATATCAAGTAAGCAAGTAGTATCAACTTCTTGTAATCGTAGTAGAAAGGATTTTTTGTAGAGAATTGTCCAACAAACATATGCATGGTTAAAAACATCAATGCTAGGTAAAGGTGATACAAAATTTTGAAGTAGGGATAAAGTTCCAAGTCTCTAAGAAGGTAGTCCAACAAATGGAAGTTTCAAGGAAAGTGGAGTTTGGTAGTTGGACATGTGCAAAACTACCCAAAACAAAGGGGACCCATTGTCCTACATTTCTTTGGTTCAGATGGTTGCATCAAAGATATTGTTGGTGAATCCTTGTTACTAGAACTGTCATTACAAATTACATCACACACATTATTTGATGGACTTCTTTTTGCTGATAAATTATTCTGATTTTGTTTGTTTGCTTTGCTTGATAATTCTTGGATGAAATTGTAGCACTCTTTTACCTTAACCTGCAATAAAATTCAAATTTTATTGAGAGAAATTATAAAACAAGTTTAAAAAAAGTTTTTTTTTGGGGTAGGACTGATGCAAAACCTTGTCAAGTTTCAAGGTACCCATGATATCATATTGGTTTTCTAGTATACTCCATAGTCCAATCTCTTTCAAGGTTTGCACCATACTTGCTGCTGCTAAAACAGACGGAACATAGCACGTAAACCTGGGATCTGCATTCAAATGAACGACGTTTAAGGTTATGCACACATATTGTAATAGTCCTTATAATAGACCAATGAAATAACACAAATTCTGATCAAACTAAGTCTTTCTTTTTACTATGAAACTGTTTAAAAAAACAAAAAAGTCTTGAATTGCCCTGTCCTATGACTAGAGTTTAGTAGGTAAAAAATGATGCAAAATGCTTACCAAGAATGGCAGAGACAATAAGGTTTTCACATCTGGTTAAAATATTCCAATGAAGATGGGATTTTAAGTTGAGCTTCCTTATTAAATGTCCAAAGTAGGAAAGTGGGGTCACAGCATTCATTTTCCAATCGAGTGTTGAAAGCACTAACAGCTCCATTCTCTGAACCACCTTTGCTTCAAATATCTGTTCATGCTCTACCTACACCAATCATACATAAATCAGATACAATAATTTGTACTACTAGGAAAATTGCTCAGCCAAAAACATAGATTCTCAAAAATAGCTTGTTAGACCAATAAGCAATAGCTTGTAGTAAGACATTAGTAAATAAAATCCTAAAAAATAAAGACATACACATATTATCCTTAAAAAAAAATTTAAAGTCGTCAATAGTATATCAGCCTAATAAATTGTGTGACACTCCTACACAAAAGTGTCATCTTACTAACATGTTTTTCACCTTTTCTTTCTTCCCTTAACAAACATGTTTTTCACCTTTTCTTTCTTCCCTTAACAAATAAGATAGGCACATGGCATAAACATTACAATACTAAAATTGAATGCTTTATCAATTATCATAAACATTTCTTAGAGTGTTTATTTATACTTAGTATACAAAATTCCTAAGTATCTAGGTCTCCCTAATCATATTTAAGACAAAATCACGCGTCATTTTATCTTGTTAACATGAAATTAGAGTATTAGACTAATTCCTTAATGTAATGTTGAGCAATTTGGAATATGTTTAAGCATTTTCACAATTTACTCAAAAATCATGGTGAAGAAAAAGAACTTACTTGGAAATCTAAGAGAAGAGGAACATAGATTTCTTCCATCTTGGAAGCCAAAGAAAGACAAGCAACAGCAGCAAGATGTGTCATCCATGGCATTTCCTTTTGATACCCAAAACTCAACATAAACTTATCAAAGTAATTAACACCCAAAACCAGAGTAATTGCAGAGAAATTATGGTGATAATTAACCTTAATCATCCATTCTAAAGCCTCTCTCCTAGCTTCCAATAATAACTTATTAACACCCAAATCACCCTCATTAAGAAGAGTATTTCCTTCTTTAGAAAACAGAGCATTTAGTTGTTCTTCATCATCTTCACACCAAACTAAAGAAGAAGAAGAAGAAGAAGAAGAATCATGTAATGGTGATGAAATTGCCAACCCAATTTCACGATTATCATCATGATCATCAAACTCTTCATCATCATCATCATCATCATCATTACCCCAACATTTTTCTTCACAATACAAACAATCAAGAAAAAGAAGATTATTGTTTTTTGAAAGGGTTTGTTGTTGTTCTTGCTCTGTTTCTAAAGTAGTCATTTTTGGGTGTGTTTTTGAGAGTTTGGGAATTGCCTTTTATGTTAGCAATGAAATTGAATTTGAGGGTATCCATTGCTTTGAACTCTTGTAGTAATAAAATGTAGAGAGAGAGAGAGAGAGAGAGAGAGAGAGAGAGGAGGGGCCCTGAAGAATTAAGTAATAAGGGTGAGAGTGTTTTATTTGAGGGGTTTTGAAGCTTGTCTTTTTCCACTATTTTTGGCTTTTGTTTGTGTTTTTATCTCTTTTTAGTCTTTTACTCTTGACCTACATCTTGATTTTTATTGATTGTTTTGTGTAATTTTTTCTTACAAGGATGAGTTGACAAGGGAGAAACTCCTTGTTGATCTCAAAGTTTAATGTAAAAAGTACAATTTAATATGTTTGTTTTCTATAATTATCGTTTATTTAAATTTAGAAAGTTCCAAAATATGTTTATTTGTGGAATTGAAGATATCAAAATTTTGTTTCTGTATTGGTGTAAAAAGCCTAACTCAAGTGCTTTTAACATTGATCGTAATAGAGGAGGACAATACACTCACTAATAATAAAAAAAAAATTAAAAAAATTACTCCGTAACATATTATTTGAAAAGCTAAACCTCTTATGAGTTATGACAAATGATTTTCCATAATCACAAGTAATTTTTTAAAAACTTTTTATAATTAATAATTGTACGACAAATAATTGCGATTAGACCATCTAATTCGCAACTCATTATTTGTGTGATTATTTTGTCATATTCCAATTGACCTAAGAAGTAGGCTGCTTGACATTTACCATATTTTCTTTTTTACCATTCATTGAAAAAAAAAAAAAAAAAAAAAAAAAAAAAAAAAAAAAAGCAAGTAAAAAAATGTGTTCAATTTATCATAGTAAACTATATATAACATATATGGAAGGTTGCATACATTAATTGATTAGCTTAGAAATTTATCTTGAGGTGGATATGTGACAATTCAAAATTCAAATATAAAAATAGTTATGTGCTAAATAATACTTCGTATACCAGTATATAAAATATATAACATTTTTTTTACTCCGTATTAAATTTTGGGAAATCAAGAAGGTAACTTTTATACAATAACTTCAAATTATCCTTATTTTTATTTACCTTTAAATCCTAATAGAAGCCCATCATTTTATCTAAAATTTTTGGATATAAAGTCCGCGTGAAAGCCAAGAATTGAAATTTGTAAATTGTGCATGTCTATAAGTAAATAACTCATACATAAACTAAATCAAAGATTTTGGAGAGAGAGGAATAATAGAGAGTCATAAACAAGATTTGATTTTTGATCTATGTCCGCTAAACTAAGCTAAGTTCTTTTGGCTTAAGTTAGGCCTTATAATTGAGTCGTCCTTAAATGCTTGATTTTTTGATCAATTTATCCAAAAAGAGAGAAAGAAAGGTAGTACATGTATCCTTCATTTGAAATATTAACCGTACAAATCTAAAATTTGTTGGCAGTGCAACTGGAGCACATTGAATAAAGGCACGAAAGTTGCATGGCACATTCTCTCCAGTTATAAATCTTATGGTTAACAGTCAGAAATTCAGAAAGTACTAGGACTATCTGCATTTCCATCAATCTGTCTTCCGCTTATCTATTCTTCATAATTGCCTCATATATAACCTTCTTTTTACATTTTAATGGGACCAAACACATTTTCTAACTTGAAAGGTCGCTGCTTTCTTTCCAGAACTCCACATTTCTCTTGTGTCTTTAGGTTGTTTATTTATTGACCCTTGGCTAGGGGTGAAACAAATTCGGGTTAAAACCGAACCGAACCGAAAACCGAACCGAATAAGAAATATGGTTCGGTTTTTTTTTTTGAAGTGGTTCGGTTCGGTTTTTTTAAAAAAAATATTTCGGTTTCGGTTTGGTTTCGGTTTGAGGAAATGGAAAACCGAAAAAAACCGAAAACCGAAATTTAGGCCCAGATTGGCAGATTTACCCTAAGTATATAAGGGAAAAAAAAAAACCCTAACCCTCATTCTCTGATTCTCTCTCCTGACTTCCTCAGTTCGCCTCTTACCCTACCCTCATTGCGAATTTCTCAGTCTCTCATCCTCACTTTCTCAGTTTCTCAATCATCTCTTTTGTGTTTCTCAGAATTCTCACTCTCCAATTCTCCATCGTTCACCGGCACAGCGCACTCGTTCAGGCGTTCACTGTGACACCCTCCACCGTCCAAAGGTATGCTTTTAAGTTTTGATTATGCTTGATGTTCATATTTTTTTAGGGTTTTAATTATGATTAGTGTTAAATGTTAATTACAAAAATCTGCAAATTACATGTACAAATTTGTTAAACATTCTGATTAGGGTTTTAATCTATGCTTGATGTTCATATTGCGATGTTGTTTCTGAATTTTCTATTCTGTACAAATTAGTAAAACATTCTGAATTTTCTGGTATTTTGATGCTTCGGGGTTTTGGTCTATTCAAGGGTATTTTGGGTTTTGGTCTAGTAAAACATTCTGATTAGGGTTTTGGTCTAGTAAAACATTTTGAATTTTCTGGTATTTTGAAGCTCTATTCGATTGGACTCTGTTGAAGATTGTTTCGGATTATTAGTTAGTTATTAATTCAAGGGTTCGCATGATTAATAGCATTATCATTGTCTTGATAAGTGTTTATTAGATTGTTGATCTTTGTTATTATTGTTAATTTTGATTTTACTTGTTTTGGGTACAGTTAGTCAGTTAGTGCTTAATTTGATTGTTTTTGGGTGGTGGGGTGGAATCTTAGGGGGCTAATTATTATTGCTAAATTGTTATTGTCTTTGGTTTAGTTAGCCAGTTACTACTGATTTTGTTTATTAGGGGTATAATTATTATTCCCTTTAAAAGATCCAATATTCTTAATTTATGAGTTTGCATGTATTCTTACAGATTGTTATTCAACCACGAATTATTGAATGACAACCAACGTGGGTGGTGTTCCTGACCAGCCTCAATCCGAACATGAGACTGACCAAGTCTCTCAAAATCAGAAAAAAGAACAGGGAGCAAAAAGGAAGAGGATGAAAGAACGCTCTGAAGTTTGGGAGCACTTTGATAAAGAAGACTTACCTTCTGGAATGCAGGCAATTTGCAAGTATTGTGGGATGAGCTACAAGTGTGGGGCAAAGAAAAACGACACTAGTGTGTTATGGGCTCATATTTCGCGATGTCGTAAGTATCCCTTTAACACCCCTAAAGATTCAAAACAAAGTTTGCTTTCATTTAAAAGTGCTAAAGAACCAAGTGGTGGTACTAGTGGGTTGACATACCACAAATTTGATGCTGGTAGTATTAGAAAAGCTTTGTCATTTATGGTGATTGTTGATGAACTTCCATTTAAGTTTGTTGAAGGTATAGGTTTTAGACATTTTTGTGGTGTAATAGAGCCTAGATTTAATGTTCCTTCTCGAATTACAGTAGCCAAAGATTGTTTTGAAACATATTTAACTGAAAAACGAAAGCTGAAAAATGTGTTAAAAAGGTGTAATTCAAGAGTTTCTTTAACCACTGATACATGGACCTCTATACAACAAATCAATTACATGTGCTTGACTGTCCACTTTATTGATAATAATTGGAAATTACACAAAAGAATTCTGAATTTTTGTCCTATTTCTAGTCATAAGGGTGATGATATTGGCAACGAAATTGAAAAGTGTTTGCTTGATTGGGGGCTTGAAAATGTCATGTGCATAATAGTTGATAATGCTAGCTCAAATGATACTGCAATTGGGTATATGAGAAGGAAAATAAATGGGTGGAAAACTGGGGTTCTTAAGGGTCGTTTCCTTCACATGCGTTGTGTTGCACACATTGTCAATTTGGTTGTTTCTGATGGGTTGAAAACTGTTAATGAGTCGGTTCAACGTGTTAGGCATGCTGTTAGGTTTATCAAACAATCTCCTGCTAGGTTGCAAAGGTTTAAAAAATGTGTCTTAGATGAAAAAATCAACACAAAAAAGGGATTGTGCCTTGATGTGCCTACTAGGTGGAACTCCACCTATTTGATGTTGAATGCTGCTATTGAGCTTCAAGATGCTTTTGAGAGGTATTCTGGGGAAGACCCTCACTATGTAGTTGATTTGAATGAGAGGGATGGTAAGGGTAGACCAGATTCTGATGATTGGAATAATGTAAGAAGACTTTCTGAATTTCTACAAGCCTTTTATGATCTGACCTTGCATGTCTCTGGCTCTTTATATGTCAGTTTGAATTTGTTTTTTCATGAATTGGTGAGTGTTGCTGTACTTATGAAAGATTTGGTTTCAAGTGATGATGTGGATATGTGTCTTATGGCTTGTAGAATGAAAGAAAAATATGAAAAGTATTGGGGTGATCCAGAAAAAATAAACCTCCTGATTTTTATTGCCGTTGTCCTTGATCCTCGTTATAAGCTTGATTATGTTGAGTGGATGATAACTGAAATTTATGACCCTATTGTTGCATCAAAGTTAGTTGATAATGTGAAGGTAGCTTTGAATGCTTTGTATGAGGAGTATCGTGTTTCTTCTGGTAATGATGTGAATAGGGAGGAAGTGTCTTCAAGTAAGGATGGCAAAACTCCATTGAGTCCCAAACATAAAAAGATTGAAGTCTTAAAGAGTAAGTATAAGAAACACAAGTGTGAGAGAGATGGAGATGCAAAAATAGAGTTAGACAAATATTTGGAGGAGGATACAGCGGAGGATATTGATGAATTTGACATTTTGAGCTGGTGGAAGTTCAATTGTTCAAGGTTTCCTACTTTGGGGAGAATTGCCCGTGATGTTCTTGCTGTCCCTGTTTCGACAGTAGCTTCTGAGAGTGCATTCAACACTGGGGGCAGGGTTCTAGATCAGTTTAGGAGCTCATTAACTCCTCGAGTTGTAGAAGGTCTTGTTTGTGCTCAAAATTGGTTACGTGCTTCACCATTTCCAAGTATTGAAGAATGTTTAGAGGAAGTTGAGCTTCTTGAAGAGGGTAATATATAAGAACATCTCATCATAAGTTACTTATTTTCATTATGTGTATATATTTTAACTTGGTTATTTTTGTTATGAATTATGATAGACTTGAAGAATATGGCAGTTGGTGATGCTGATATTGATGAAGTGCTTGAAATAATAGACTGATGTGGCTCTTTGCTCATTGCTGACTTGTTGTTGCCACTTGCCAGACTTGCTACTGCCTTGCTCTATCACTGCTACTGCCTTAGTCTATGCTGCTGAGTGTTGACCTGCTTTTGCTGCTGACCTGCTGTTATGATGCTGCTGCTGCCCTGCTGCTTGTTGCTACTGCTGTTAAACAATTTTTTTACTGCCTTTTAGAACTTGGTCTATGCTGCTTGTTGCTACTGCTGTTAAACAATTGTTAAAGTTGTAATGTTGAACAATTTTATTTTTTTTTGGATGAAGTGTTGAACTTTTAAAACTTTGAATTATAACTTTGAAGTTTTAGAACTTGTTAATGTTGTTTAAATCTCATTAAGCATTTATGCTACTACATATGTTGCTGAATATAATATTTATATGATTAAGCCCACAAAAATTGCAGATTAAAGCCCAAATAAACAAGGCCCAAAAAAATTCGGTTTGGTTCGGTTTTTTCTTTTGAAACCGAAATTTATATGGTTTGGTTTGGTTTGGTTTC